CAGGCTTCTTATTAACTCTTTCTAACATTGTACATTAACCCATTATTCTTATGTCAGCCATGTGGCTTGGTAGCTAATATCAGTGAGGCATTCTCATCTTGCTTCCTCTGCGGCTGGGGTGACGACTGCAGACTGAATCTTTCCTCTTCCCAGAATCCTCCTGTTCTTGTTGCCCCACCTATACTTCCTGCCTGGCTACTGGCCAATCAGTGTTTTATTAAAATATAATTGACAGGGTACAGACCATGGTCCCACAGCATGAAACAGTTGGGATGAGGCCCCGGGTAGCAAAAATCAGCCCGGGCCATTCTCCGGAGAGAGGCCAGTTTCCCCATTGCCCATGGGATGCAGGGAGGCTCCACAGAGCATTCGAGAGCCCTGAAGCTCCAGAGCCCTCCGCCAGGAGAGCCAGGCTAGGGCTCAGGCTCAAGCTGGCCCTTGCTGCCCATCTGCAGTTCCTCCAAATCCCAGTCTGCTGCCCCAACACTGGGCATGCCCTTAAATGGCCCGTGGCCATACCTCTCCTGGAAGATGCCTGCTGGCCCAGAAGGTGAGGCTGGCATGCAGCAGAAGGGGGACAAATGTGGAGAAATGCCGCCCTCACAGGTGTCAGGAGCCAGCCGGGCACAATACACATCTGCCTCCCCCTAGTCCTCAGCCAGCCTTGTGCTGTAGCTGTTTTTACCCTCGTCGTGCACAGTAAGAAACCAAAGCTCCAAGACACTAACTAGCCTCACCAGAGCTGAAGCAATGAAGTCAGGATTCAAACGCAGGTGTAACTCTGAAACCCATCCCTAAAGGCCATGCACATCTGCTACATGCCAGTGCTGAAGAGCCCAAGACAGAAAGGTACTGCCTCATGAGAACCTAACAAGGTAACGTGGCAGAGAACCACAGAGGGTACATATACAGTCCACAGAGACGCAGACACGTGCACATACACACACACATACACACATAGACGCAGGCAGACACACACACATGCAGACAGACACACACAGAGACACCTGCACATACAAACATACTCGTATAGACATCCAGTCACTATTGGACTTACTTGTGTGTTTTCAAGGCAGGGTTTTTCTGTGTAGACCTGGCTGTCCTAGAACTCACTCTGTCTCAAACTCAGAGATCCACCTGTCCCTGCCTCCCGAGTGCTGGGATTAAAGGTGTGACATCACACCAGGCTGGACTTTTTTTATAAAGACTTCTCTTTGCTTTTATCTTCCATGTGTCTGAGTGTTTGCCTTGATGTGTCTGTGCGCTTCATGTGCATGCCCAGTGCCCGTGGAGCCGAGAGAGGGAATCAGATCCACTGGACTGGAGTCACAGATGGTTTGACCCGTGTGACACAATGCTGGACACTGAACTCGGGTCCTCTGCAACAGCGAGTGCTCTTAACTGCTGAGGTGTCTCTCCAGCCCCTGTTGTTGGCAGTGACTCCATGCCGCAGGCCCTTGTTCTCTGTCATGGTGAAGGAGCTGACTTTATGTTGCATGCCAGGGTGAGATCTGTGCTCCTACAGACACCCAGAGTACAGAGGCGAGGGGACTGACCCCTGAGCGTGCAGAGGCTTGGCAAATAACTTCTCAAGTCATGCCAATCACCGGTCATAGAGGTAGATGAGGCAGCCCCCAGAGGTAAAGGTTAAACTTGTGGGGCTACCCAAGCTTTCCACTCTGTGTCTCCTTCACCCATTTCTCCCAGGTAACTAATCCAGCTCCCTCCACCCCTCTCTCCCTCCCTTCCTTCCAATGGTAGCTACCTGCCTCTCATCTTGAAGGAAGCCTGGATGTGAGACGTTCGGTAATGATATCAAATGTGGAGTAGCAGACACAGCAGCAGGCTTTGGGCCTGCAGGGCTCTGTGCCCATGGAGCAAACCTCCAGCCCACAGTGCCCTCTGAACTGCCCTTCCTGCAGCCTGAGCAGGTGCCCAGACTTGTGTGCTCCATCCTTTCAGGTCTCTGGTTTGGAATGTCGATGTGAGAGGCCATTCATGCTGGAGACAGGCCCCTCTGCAGCGGAGGTGGAGGCTGTGAAGGGATAGGGAGCTTGCGGCCAGCAGGGGAAACTGGGTCCTGGTGGAGAAGGGAGATGGGGGCAGGGGCAGCATTGTTGGAAAGTCCCAGCCAGGTTTGGATGCTCTGGCCTTCTGCAGAGACCGTAAGGAATGGTATCCCCCCGCTGCCAAGACAAGGCGATGTGGGAACTCAGTGTTTTCCAGGGCTGCACACAGCTGGGATCAATCTGTATGCCATCTGTCTGGGGCAAAATGTCCCCATACAGGCTACTTTGGCTCAATGAACAACTTTTAGAATTCTAGGCCTGAATCTTTCTGGCATGTTCTAGGTTGCCATCACTACCAGGGTGTCCCCCACCAAGACAACAATAGCTGTGAGTTGATAAAGGTGTGGAGATGAAACACTCCAGAGTCAGTTTTGGGGAACAGTCTGCTCCTTGCATGTGAGCGACTGCTTATGTAGCGGACACCTACCAACTATGACTGGGTGGCACGTTGACGTGGGATGCCCTTCTGCATACGTCAGTCTCCTTCTACAGCACTTTACCTTGGATTGGACAGTGAGTACTCCTCAGCAGGGTCTCTATGCAGGAGAAGCACTTTACAGGAAGCAGCTCACAGTCTGCAGGGCCCGCTACTCATGCCACGTCAGGATTCAGTGTTCTGAGCAGGGTGTGTCATGCTTCTTATTTAGAAGGGCTGTATGCCAAGTAGGCTGGCCACCAGGTCATGCCTGAATTTCCTCCTACACTTGGTCCATTTCTCCTGAGTGGCTGCCAAGCCATCAGCTTCTAGAACGGGACCTAAAGGCTTGCAGTTATATTCACCAGATCTGGAATGTACCACCAAATAAGGCAACGGTCACACCACTCCTTAGGGAAGATCTGAACCTGTTCTCTCTGCGGTGTGGGAAGGCCCAGGGCTGACTCTCCCAGTGCCTCTGGTCCGGTCAGAGCTTCCTGAGGCTCTGGTTAACAGCTCCCAGGGTGCTCTAGGGGTTCTGAGTCCCCCTGGGGCAAGGCTCCAGACTCTGCTTAATTTCAAAATTCTCTCAGGGGCAGATTTTAATTTCTAGTTTTGCACACATGCACGCACACACACACACACACACACACACACACACACACACTCGACTGGGACTCACATATTCCAGGTTGACCTTGAACCTATTACACAGTCAAGGACAATCTGGAACTTCTGACCTCCTACCTCTGCTGCCTGAGGGCCAGCTAGGGCTGGAATCCAGAGCCTCGTGCATACTAAGCAATCTGCCAAATTAGCCACATTCCTGCCTCTTTCTGTTTATTCTTGTTTGTTTGTTTGATGTGTGTGGATATTTTGTCTGCATGTAAGTATGTGTACCATGTGTATGATTGGTATCCCACAGAGGCCAGAAGAGGGCACCAGATTCTCTAGGACTAGAGTTATAGCCGGTTGTGAGCCACCATGCAGGTGCTAGGAATTGTACCAAGTCCTCTGGAAGAGCAGGCAGTGTCCTTAACTGCTGAGGCATCTCTCCAACCCATATTTTTCTAAATATTTACCTTTATTTTAATTGTGTGTATGTGCATGTGAATGCAGGTGTCCAGGCATTGGGTCACCTGGAACTGGAGTTGCAGGTGATTGTGAACTCTCAACTCTACACGAGGAGCACCTGCTCTTAACTGCTGAGCCATCTCTCCAGAACTATTTCTTTTAATAAACAGCAAAGGTTAAGCTGGGCATGTTGGCACAAGCCTTTAATCTGACAGGCAGAGGCAGGGTGATCTCTTGTGAGTTTGAGGCCAGCTTGGTCTACATAGTGATACCCTGCATCAAAAAAAAAAACAAAAATAAAAAAAAAGATAAATAAATAATAAAGATTTCTATAAAGACATTTCCTGCTACGACAGGGTCTGTAGGTTCAGCTGGACACAGCATTTTTCAGCTTCAGAATGACTGCCATTTGGGCCAGGTAATTCTGTCTCCAGGCAAAGTAGCTCCCTGCAGTCCTCAGACCCTCAGGAGAGGGGTTTCCTCCTGGGGCCTGATAGACAGTGTGAGGTGTGGTTGTCAGCATTCTCCAATGGCCCCTGGCCAGGCTCTGCCATGCTGGACTCCAGCGCCTTACCACAGTCTTCGACCACAACCAGGTCCCACAGTCACTCATTTCCCATCATCCTCCACCTGTTCTGCTTTGTTCCCACTGCTGCTTCCATGGTCCTCACCTCCTTGCCTCTTTGCAGGCAGACAAGGACAGCAGGACCAGGAGAGGTACCCCAAACCTAAGCCCTGCAAGCTGGGCATATGACGTGCAGAGACAGAATTCTTTTGCAGCAATGGTGTGTTTATTTATTCTTAGCCTTACTACAAAATACACGTGGTTGTTGCACAGAACTTGGGGAACACAGAACCGAACGAAGACGCAGTGAAGGTCCCTTACAGTCCCACTGCCCAGATAGCAATGCTGACCTGTAGTTCCAGCTAGGAGTAGCACCGTGGATGCTGTGCAGGCAGGGACACCCAGGCAGGCACAGCCCTGACCAAGGACATTACAAAGCAGTCTCCCAATTAACATCAGCTTTATTTAGATGCAGGGGACCCAGAGGCTTCCCCGGTTTGTTCCATGGGACATTTAACCCCGTCCTCCCACCTCACCCTAGAACAGCCCTTTGCAGCTAGACATCAGAACTCATCCTTTATGTCAAAATGGGGCTGATCTTCAGGCTTGAAGTCCAGGTTGGGGCTGCCGTCCTCATTGAGGATCCGGCGCGCTGTGTAGCCAACAATGGGGTATTTGGCTTTGTACACCCTGGTGAAGACATCGTCCAGGGCCTCCAATTCCTTGGCTGTGAGACCAGTCTGGGGGAAAGAAATGAGAGAGGGACATGGCAAATTGAATCTGGCCACATTGTATCTGGCACTGCCCTCTCTCTGCCCTGCCTTACCCACTTCAAGTCCCAAATGCAAGAGAAAACACACTTAAAAAAAAAAACTTTTTAGGAGTGAGCAAGAACACAGTCCTCACCACCACAGATTCTGTAGTTGTGTTTCTTGCATTTGGGGAATTGCTGGGGTCTGCACATCTGTGGTGCAGTGAATGAGGCTCACCCCGGAAATCACCTTTGTGTTCACAGTGCCCCCACTTGCCAGAAATATTTGGAAAAACCATCTTAGATCAAGTAATGGACTTTTAAAGTATTTGTGCAGAGGGTAAGTGAGCATGTTTACAGGATGGAGGTGCAGCATGTGTGTGTGTGCAGGGGATGAAGGCAACATTTATGTGTGTGCAGAGGTGAGTGCAGCATGTGTGTGCAGGTTGTGAACAGAGTATGTACAGGGTGTAGATGCAAAGTGTCTGTACAGAGGTGGAGTACCGGGTGTGTGTGCCGAGGAAGAACTCAGGGGAGCAATGGCTTCATCGATTTTGCTGGTCTGCTGATAGAGGAATTATCATCCACAGGACACCCAGTCTTGCGTGAGTGACTCTATAACCTGTGTCTACCCCTCTATACTATTACACACTTAAGTACGCCGTCTGCTGTAATTTGGATGGAGAGTGTCACTTTATGAACGGTCCCCTGTCAAAGGTTTGGTCTCCAAGGTGGAGCTATTGGGAGGTGATGGAGCCTTTAAGGGGCAGGGCCTATCAAATGGTGCTTTACATTGAGAGTTTTCCCTCCACAGGAATTGTGGGACACTGGCCACTTCCCCTTTCTCTTCTGCTTCCTCATCATGAGGAGTACAGGTTTTCTCTGCCACATGGCCTAGCCATGACTTGGCTATAACCAGCCCTATTTTTAAAAATGCTGTTTCCTTCTACACAAAGCATGAGCGTGGAGGGTAACCTGTTTCTCCCCAGTTCATCCACTAAGCTACAGCAGCTCCCGAGACTGGGACTTGGAGGTGGGGTATAGATGGGGTGCAGATCACAGGGGTACCGAGCTGCTCGGCAGGCAGGGGACACGCAGTGAAGTCTGTCAGGTTGGACGACAAGACCACACAGAGTTTGGACTTTAGTCTGTAAGCAGAAAGGAGCCATGGGAGCCCCTAAGTAGGGATGACCCAGTAAGATGATGAATCTCAAGAAAGTGGTTGGCCACCGTACAACATAGGCTCGTTAATGGGCTTATTAAGAAGTTTTGGGGGGCTAAGGGTCTTGTCCAGTGGTAGAACATTTGCCTAACATTTGGGGGGGGGGTTCAAATCCAAAGAAATAAACAACTTTGTTTAACTGAGAGACTTAAAACAAACAAAAAGCCAAAATCAGGGGCTGGAGAGATGACTCAGCAGTGGTTAAGAGCATTGGCTGCTCATCCAGAGGCCCCAGGTTCAATTCCCAGCACCCACATGGCAGCTCACAGCTGTCTGCTCCAGTTCCAGGGGATCTGACTCCCTCACACAGACATGCATGCAGGGAATACACCAATGCACATAAAATAAAAGTAAGCACATTATTTAAAAAAATTAAAATTAGCAGTGTCAATCTTTAATCTCAGCTGTTGGGAGGCAGGGGCAGTCTGGTGAGCTTGAGGCCAGCCTGGTCTACATAGAGAGTTGCAGCCCAGACAGGACGACACAGTGAGACCCCATCTCAAGAAAACAACAAACAAAAGCCAAGAATGAAGCCCACAGCATGGGAGCAGAGCAGTGCATTCTGACAAACGTTCATCAGCTTACAGTGTCATGAGTGAGGTCCGCAGGATCCAGTGACATCTTGGCCACACCTCTGGTGGAGTCTTTCCCAGTCAAGGCATTGTAGGGGGCCCCTCGCCCATAAAACTCTGCAGTGTAGGGTGGAGGGGGAGAAAGTAAGTGCATGGAGAGCAGCCAGGACCTACTTGGGAGTTCTCCAAACCCACCCACCCCCCATCCTCAGAAAAGACTGTAGTACTGAGAAGAAACACAGCAGGGCAGATGGAAGGCCCGAGTCCACATGGTGCTCTACCAATCCAGAACGGTGCTCCACCAACCCAGAATGGTGCTCCACCAATCTAGAATGGTGCTCCACCAATCTAGAATGGTGCTCCGCCAATCCAGAACGATGCTCCACCGATCCAGTCCACCAATCCAGAATGATGCTTCACTAATCCAATCCACCAATCTAGAATGGTGCTTCATCAATCCAGAATAGTGTTCCACCAATCCAGAACGGTGCTCCACCAATGTAGTCCACCAATCCAGAATGGTGCTCCACCAACCCAGAATGGCGCTCTACCAACCCAGAATGGTATTCCACCAATCCAGAATGGTGCTTCAATAACCCAGAATGGTGCTCCACCAACCCAGAATGGTGCTCCACCAACCCAGAATGGTGTTCCACCAACCCAGAATGGTGCTCCACCAACCCATAATGGTGCTCCACCAATCCAGAACGTGAAGGAGACATAACACGACTGAGTGGTGGTTTGTAGAAAACACACAATGCAGTCTCTTTAAAAGTTAAAATGCAAGTCACACCTAATGATGCAGGCCTGCGATCACAGCTAGGAAGCAGGCTGACACAGGAGGATTGCACATTCAAGGCTGGCCTGCACCCGCCCCAGAGTAAGTATTTTAAGAAGGAGCCCCGGGGAGGGTATGGTGTGTGGCTCAATGGTAGCCTGCTTGTCTTCTGATCTACCATATTGTACTTAAAGTATGACAAAGTATGGCTTTATCGTCCATAAAGTCCTGGTTCAGTCCTGTGTGTGTGTGTGTGTTGTGTATGTTGTGTATATGGTGTGTGCATATGGTGTGTTTGCCTCTATGTATGGATGGATGGACGGACGGACGGATGGACCGACCGACCTACCTACCTATCTATCTATCTCTGTGTGTATCTGTGTATGGAGATGTATACACAAATACAGACAAGAAGACCCTCTGGTCTCAAATGCCTCAGGAGTTTCTTTCTACTATGTGGACTTACAGGATGAGTCATGAAAACCCACCTCCTGGGGCTGGAGAGAGGGCTCAGTGGTTAAGAGCACTGGCTCTTGTCCAGGACCCAGGTTCAATTCCCAGCACCCACATGATGGCTCACAACCACCTGTAACTCCAGTTCCAGGGGATTCAATGTCCTCCTCTGGCTTCTGTGAGCACTGTATGCACATGCTATACAGATACACATGCAGGCAAAGCACCCATATACAAAAAAAAATTTAAAAATTATTTAAAAACCAAGCACCTCCTGATGCTGTATGTCGATAGACTCAGGGAAGCAGTGTTCTGTCACCTAAAACAGCAACTCTCAGCTAAGGGGCACGTTTCTGCCTTCAGCTGGAGTGCTCATAGGTTTGAACTGGATTCCACAGCCCTTCAAATAGGAACGTGGTACGGTCAGGAAGTACTAAGTAGATCAGACCTCTTTTGGTGAAATACTGTTGGGTTAGCTTCATCCGGGCCTTTCAGAGGGAAGGGAAAGGCCTTGCCTGACAGGACTCCTTGCCTCGTTCCTCCCGGCACCTGCTCCGGCCCTGTGTTCCCCAGAAAGAAAGAGCCACTTACCCTTTCCAGAGCTGACATCAAACACCACTCCCTTCACAGCCAAGTAGATGGGCTGATCCTCCTGGAAAGCAGGGGAGAGGCGTGAGGAGTGGGGGAGAGGTGTGAGGGGCAGGGGAGAGGCCTGAGGGGCAGGGGAAAAACACTGGCTTTCTTTAACAGGTAGCTAGGACTGTTTGCCACAAACTGGGTTAGGAACGGTGTTGAGCTGCTAGGCTTGGCCCTGGCAGACTCACCACCTCTCAGGCAATGTCATACCCATTCACCAAAGCTCGGGAAGCCATGAAGTGCCATGAGGTGTGGCAAAGCCCTCCTGCAAAACGGTCGGGGGTTGAAGCAGACAAGCAAACCCGTCATGGTAATGCACCCCATAATCTCAGCATTTAGGAAGCAGAGGCAGGAGGATCAGAAGTTCAAGTTTAGTCTCAGCTACTTAGCAAATCTGAGGCAGGGCTAGGCTATGTGAGACCCTAGCTCAAAAAAATATAAATAAGACACAAATCAAAAGAATATGAAATACTGGATGATTTCAGTCAGAACATGATCCTGTCACCAATAGACACACATGGGTTTAAGTATGCCAGTAACACACTTTTTTATTTTGCTTCTTTAAAAAAAAAAAAAGATTTGTTTGGTCCTGAAGGAATGATAATGATGTATATGTTTGTATGTATGTATGTATGTATGTATGTATGTATGTATGTATGCATGCATGCATAGGTACATATCTCACTTGACAAGCAGCCAAAGTTAGGGCCTAGGTGGTTACAGCTAGAAAAGGCGGCAGGTCATCACAGCACCAGCCTGTGACATAACTGCTTCCTACCGGCTGCTTTTCTGTTGCCACGACAATACAATGTCTTGGTTTATCTGGGCTGATGGCTCCAGAGGGGTCGTATGGATAACCAGGCCTGCAGATGTGGCTCAGTGCTAGAGTGTTCACCTAGGATGGAGAAAGCCCTGGCTTCCATCCCTGCACAACTAGGTGGTGGCTCACACCTATCACTCTGGAGGCAGGAGGATGGATCCTTCAGGTCATCCTTGGCTAAATAATGCATTCTAGGGCAGCCTAGGCTACATGAGATCCTGTGTCAAAAAGTACCAGGGAGGCTGAGGAAGGAGGACTGCCATGAGTCCCGGGGTAGCCTGGGCTACTAAGCAGGACTGTCTCAGCGCCCGGCCCTCTTTCCCATTCTGTCGTTTCTTCGCTATTTCTCGCTGCTTACTCTCTTCCTTTCTCCCCAGTAAGACATTTATGTCCTTATCAACTATATACTGAAGGAGCAGCGCTAAGAGGAGGTCATGGGAAGGGGCAGATAGGTATGTGTGACACCTTAGGACCATTGTGCACAGCCATGGAGAGGACATCAACCTCTGAGCGCCAGGTGTGTGAGGAGGAATCTCTCCTGGAGAGCGATTGGCTCCCTCCATAGGGCCCTCAGGAAACAATGGCTGAGAAGGTGGAGGGGGTGGTGGCCTCTGTCGGGGATAGAATGACCAGAGACACCCACTCCCCCCTCCATCTGGACAGGTGCCATATTTTAGGACCTGTACCTGGATGTGGATCCATATTGACTGATGTCCAGAAGTGGCCATCTGTGCCCCAAGAGTACAGTAAAAATGTCAGCTCAGTGGGGTGTGGGGCAAAGGACAAGAGCTGAAACATTTAGTTG